GTAGTCCTAAAGCCAGAACCTCAGAGGGACGAATAACAACAAAAGAAGGCCAAAAAAAAAAAGTTATTAAAAGAATAAATAAAATCAAAGGAAAGACAAACACAATGGCAAATACAGATGCTAACATATCAATATTAACTCTAAATGTAAATGGACTAAACTCTTCAATAAAAAGACACAGAGTTGCAGCCTGGATTAAGAAACAAAACCCAACCTTTTGCTATCTCCAGGAAACACATTTAGCTACAAAAGATAAAAATAGGCTCAAAGTTAAAGGATGGAAAACAATCCTACAAGCAAATGGACCAAAAAAGAAAGCAGGAACAGCTATACTTATATCAGATAAAACAGATTTCAAACTCAAAAAGATAAAAAGAGACCCCAATGGTCACTACATTATGATCAAGGGGACAATACTTCAAGAAGAAATAACACTCATTAACATATACTCACCAAACGAAAGAGCACCAAAATATATCAGACAACTGTTGTCCTCTCTGAAAACAGACATCAGAGAAAACACATACGTAGTGGGAGACTTCAACACTCCACTATCCACAATGGATAGATCAACAAGACAAAAAATAAGTAAATAAACCAAAGCTCTAAGTAAGGACCTAGAGCATTTGGGCTTAACAGACATCTATAGAACACTAAACCCCAAAAAAAGGAGTACACATTTTTCTCAAGCGCACACGGATCATTCTCCAGGATCAATCACATACTGGGGCACAAGACAAACATCAACAGATACACCAAGATTGAAATCATATCAACCATCTTTTCTGACCATGAAGGCATCAAACTAGAAATAAACCATAAAAAGAAGGCAAGGAACTTTCCTACCTCATGGAGATTAAAAACCACACTACTGGAAAACCACTGGACTAATGAGGAGATCAAAGAAGAAATTAAAAAATTCTTTGAATTGAACGACAAGGAGGACACCGATATCCTAAATGTATGGGATGCAGCAAAAGCAGTAATAAGAGGAAAATATATAGCAATAGAAGCTCACATCCAGAAACAAGAAAGAACTCAAAGAAACAACCTAATCTCGAAGCTCAAAGATCTAGAAAAAGAACAACAAAAAAACCCAAAACCAGTAGAAGAAAATATATAATAAAAACCAAAGCAGAAATAAATCAAATTGAAACTAAAAAAAAAAAAAAATTCAAAAGATCAATGAAACCAAAAGCTGGTTCTTTGAAAAAAATCAATAAAATAGACAAACCCCTAGCCAGGCTCACAAAGGAAAAAAGGGAGAAAGCACAAATAAACAGGATCATCAATGAAAGAGGAGAAATCACAACGGACACAGCAGAAATCAAAAGAATAATCAATAACTACTATGAAAAGTTATATGGAAACAAGTTTAACAATCTAGAGGAGATGGACAAATTCCTACAACTCTACAATCACCCAAAGCTAGATAAAGAAGAAATAGAACACCTAAACAGACCAATTACAAGCAGCAAAATTGAAATGGTAATCAAAAACCTCCCCAAAAACAAAAGCCCAGGACCTGATGGATTTACAAATGAATTCTACCAAACATTCAGAGACGAATTAGTGCCTATCCTTCACAAACTCTTCCAAAAAATTGAGAAGGAAGGGACAATACCAAACACGTTCTATGAAGCCAACATTACACTAACACCAAAACCGAACAAGGACAACACAAAAAAGGAAAACTACAGGCCAATCTCCGTAATGAATACTGATGCAAAAATCCTCAATAAAATTTTAGCTATCAGAATCCAACAATGTATCCATAAGATAAATCACCACGACCAAGTTAGATTCATTACTGGGACACAAGGATGGTTTAACATCCGAATATCAATCAACGTTATCCAACACATCAACAAAAAGAAAAAAAAAAAACATATGATAATATCAATAGATGCTGAGAAAGCTTTCGACAAAGTGCAACACCCATTCATGATAAAAGCCCTTGAAATTCTTGGGATAGAAGGAACATACCCCAACATCATAAAGGCCATCTATGACAAGCCAACAGCCAGTATCATTCTCAATGGTGAAAAGCTGAAAGCAATTCCATTAAGATCTGGAACAAGACAAGGATGTCCACTCTCACCACTGCTTTTCAATATAATACTGGAAGTCCTAGCCAGAGCTATAAGACTAGAAAAAGACATCCAAGGAATCCAAATAGGAAAAGAAGAAGTCAAACTATCACTATTTGCAAATGATATGATAATATACATAGAGAACCCCAAAAACTCCACAGAAAAAACTAATTCAACTCATCAATCAGTTCAGTAAAGTGGCAGGATACACAATCAACACGCACAAGTCAGTAGCCTTCCTATACACAAACAATAAATCTGAAGAAGAAATTAAAAAAAAATCCCTTTTATTATTGAAACAAAAAAAATCAAATATTTGGGAATAAATCTAACAAAAGAGGTAAAGGACCTATACAAAGAAAACTATAAAACACTGTTAAAAGAAATAGAAGAAGACACAAAGAAATGGAAAAACATCCCCTGCTCATGGATTGGAAGAATATTATTAAAATGGCCATTCTACCAAAAGCAATCTACAGATTCAATGCTATTCCAATCAAAATTTCAATGCCATTCTTCAAACAAATAGAACAATTATTGATGAAATTCATATGGAATCACAAAAAACCCCAAATAGCCAAAGCTCTCCTAAAAAAAAAAAAGAAAAAGAAGGGAATGGAGGCATCACACTCCCAGACTTCAAAATCTACTACAAAGCCATAATCATCAAAACTGCATGGTATTGGAACAAGAACAGGCATACAGACCAATGGAATCGAATAGAAAATCCAGAAATAAACCCACAGATTTATGGTCAACTAATCTTTGACAAAGGAGCAAAGACTATGCATTGGAGCAAAGAAAGTTTGTTCAATAAATGGTGCTGGGAAAACTGGGTTGCTACATGCAAAAGAATGAAGCTTGACCACTACCTCACACCATACACAAAAATCAACTCAAAATGGATTAAAGAACTAGACATAAGACCTGAAACCATAAAATATATAGAAGGAAATATAGGCGAAACACTACGTGATTTGCACATCAAAGACATCTTTACAGACACATCACCCAAAGCAGTGATAGTGAAGGCAAAGATAAACAGCTGGGACTACATCAAATTAAAGAGCTTCTGCACAGCAAAAGAGACAATAACAAAAACAAAGAGAAACCCCACCAACTGGGAGAACATTTTTGCACCCAACACTAATGATAAAGGACTGATCACAAAAATCTGCAAAGAGCTGATGAGACTCAACAACAACAAAGAAAATAATATAGTCAAAAAATGGGCAGAGGAGCTGAAAAGAAACTTCTCTGAAGAGGAAATGCAAATGGCCAACAGGCATATGAAAAAATGTTCAACATCACTTGTCATCAGGGAAATGCAAATCAAAACTACCATGAGATACCATCTTACACCAGTGAGAATGGCACATATTAAAAAATTTAGCAACAACAAATGTTGGTGAGGGTGTGGAGAAAAAGGAACTCTCCTGCACTGTTGGTGGGAGTGCAAACTGGTCCAACCACTATGGAGAGCTATGTGGAGATTTCTGGACCTACTAAACATAGAGCTTCCATATGATCCAGCAATTCCACTCCTAGGTATTTACCCAAAGGACACAGAAACATCCATTCCAAAGAACACCTGCACCCCTATGTTTACAGCAGCACTGTTTACAATAGCTAAGCTTTGGAAACAACCCAAATGCCCAAAAATAGATGACTGGATCAAGAAGATGTGGTACATATATACCATGGAATATTACTCAGCATTCAAAACAGATAAACACATGCAATTTGCAGCAACATGGATGGCGCTGGAAGGGATCATGCTCAGCAAAATAAGCCAAAAAGAAAAAGAAAAATACTGGATGGTCTCACTCATAGCAGGAATCTAGAAAACTTAAATAAGGGACCAGGAAAATGAATAACTATAAGAAAGTGAAAATCAAAATCAACAAAAAACTATGAACCAGAGACACTTTTTGGGGGGTGGGGAGCGGGAGGGGAGGGATTGGGGTCAGAATGGGGGGGGCTGCAATTGTATGGGGAATATAAAAATAAAATTTATTATTAAAAAAAAATTGATGTGTTTTCCATGAAGTAGCATTCCTTACTTTCCCCACACTTGAATTATTTATATCCCCTCTTTCCATTTTTTGCCACATCCAACACTATTTTACTGAAATTGACTTGATATTTTTCTTTAGCTCATTTTTTTTTATTTTTAGTATAAAAGAGAACTGTATTAGTACTATAAATGAAAGTCAAGTGTCACTTTCAAAATTAGAAGGTGTGTGCATATTTCTAACAAAACAATTCTGAAATCCCTGCTGGCTGATTGGTGCCTGCATTAGCCTTGACCCAAGACCTGAATTTTATGCTTAAAAGTGAGAAGGAGCAACAGAACAGCTGTCTCACTGATGGGTGGACCCTGCTGAGGGCCACCTTCACTTACCCTCCTATAGTGACTTGTGATACTCATCCTCTAGAAACTTGCTGCAAATGGCTGTTGGCCCCTCGGTCAAGGTCATGTCAGAGATTCAAAGACAGAAAATAGACTTCCTGGCTTCACAGGATGTATAATTTTACGGGGAAGAGAGACCTGTTTTCCAGCATGGCTGTCATGGGTTGATAGTTAGTGGTTAATAAGTGGGACAGAATTCACAGGAAGGAGAGATGACTAGAGGCGAAGCTCCAGGGCAAAGGGAGCATCTGCGGGGCATTGAGGGGGCAGATGGGGTGCAGCACACATGTTGGAGGGGCCCTACTGATGTCCATCTGCAGAGCGATGCTTTCCTTTGGAAACTGGCAGGGGACTTACAGTGTTTCAGGGACAGCTGCTGCGCTCTGCTCAGAAGTATTAAGGCAGCAACAATGAGTATTAGTTATAAAAAAAAAAAACTAAGTATTATTTATTCTTTATATTTTTGAACACTTAACACTTGTATTTTTCCCCAGTTTGCCAGCACTGCTAAATATATGAAAAATATTCCCTATGTTAATGAGGTGTCAAGTGATGAAGCTCTCCCGAAGAGATACAGGAAGGAAATCATGGACCTTAAAAAGCAGTTAGAGGAGGTAGGTATGAGCCATGCATTTCTGGAAAGAATAGGGGCAGAGTGAGAGCTGGGTTCTCAATGCCCAGGACAGCACATGAGTCCTGCAGCCTAAACATAAAAGTTTGCAGGAAGAAATCAACTCAAAGTTTACTAATTTACTACAAGCCAAAAGATAGAGTTTCTTGAAATAATTCTGGGTTTTAATTTCCAAAGGGAAAATTTTGAGATATTCAAATGGGCCATGTGGAAATACTTCCTAGAAACTGTCACAAACTAGGACTTAGGTTAGAAAGAGGCCACCTCTTGCCATCTTGGTTTCTTCAGCCCTGAGTCAGAAATCTGACAGATGGTGTAATCACTAGCCACTGGAATTTTTGTGATCATCATGGCCCCATAATATAAGTTTGAGAAGTTATTGATTATGGTCATCGCATGCTAGTGTTCTGTGGATGAGATATATTTTATTTCAATAAAATTAAAATTCTCATTGCTGACATACTTAATTTATATTCTTCCAATCTAGCTACATTATCAACATAATGCAATGTTATGTTCTATAGGTTTCTTTAGAGACTCGGGCCCAGGCAATGGAAAAAGACCAATTGGCTCAACTTCTGGAAGAAAAGGATTTGCTTCAAAAAGTACAGATTGAGAAAATTCAAAACTTAACACGGATGCTGGTGACTTCTTCTTCCCTCACCTCACAGCAGGAATTAAAGGTAAAATTTTAAAGTTGACAGCTTAAACTTTGTCCATAGAGAATAGAATTCATGTTCTGATGTGTTTATTACAGTCAGAAGTGCGGGAGGGTGAGAGAATTCACCAGAGCCAGAGTGGGGAATAGAACAGGCAGACTGACAAAGAAATACACTGCTGAGGGGAGCAGCGGACACGGCAGGAAAAGTCTGCATGCCCTGTGGGACCCTTGCCAGTGGCCAGGGATTGAACTGGCACCACAGAGGCTGCAGGCAGCCTCGCAGCCCAGTGTTCAACTGCTGCACCACTGGGGAGGCCCTACATAGTCATTTCTTATCCTGTGAGACTGTGTATACAGGAAGCCCAGAAGGCCTGGTGTGCCTGCCTGTTCACCAGCAGCACCATGGAAGGCAGTTACGAATACTGATCTGCTCCCATGCACACAGACCTTAATTCGGGAACCCTAGATTACAGTCAAGGGGTCCATTTGTAACTGCTTCTTAAGAGATTAGGCCATTGGGAACCACAGGTCTCCAGGGCCGATGGGGATATTTTCTGTTTAAATAAACTGAAGTAATAGTCTCAGGGAAATTGAGAATATAAATCAATATAGTGTTAAAAAATTCTGGCTTCCAGCTTGTGTGCTTTTGGTTTACTCCAGTGGGGGCTTACTTCTGCGGTGAAGGTGATGTGGGTAAGGAGATGCTGTGGAGCTGACTGCCTGAAGGTGATCCTGTTCTGTCGACTCCAAATGTTGACACCAGGTGATTCTTAAGTGTGCTTTGCTGCACTTCCCTTACCTGTGAGCTGACTGGTGTGAGAATGATGTGAAGTAATACAGAAGTGTGCTTGCCCCACACTCTCCACACAGCACATCTCCAGCAAGTGTCTGCTGCGAGGGTTGTTATTGATAGATACTGCTAGGCGTTCAGAACACACCTAGCAGGTAGGAAACAGCCCAGGGGAAGATGTAGGGAAGAGGGTTTTAGGAAGATCTCAACATGCACAAAAGCCTAGAGTTGTGATAAAACATAATCTGTTCCTCAGATTTACATTGTCCTGTGGCAGGGGCATTTTAAACCACATGAAAGGATTTGAACATTGCATTGCTGTGAACAAAGAAATCCAGGGACATGACATGATCGGAACTGCAGCTTAGAAAGGCATGACTTTGGAGAGGGAAAAATTGGGCAAACTTAGCAAGACCCTGTGAGGGTTGAAGTGCAAGAAGCAGGGAAGGCAAGAGGAGTCACAGTATCAAGATGACACACAGGCTGGGATGGGCTGATGAAGGAGCAGGAGTCCCTGGTTCATTTCAGCTAAATCCCAGGGAACTTACAAGGAACCCTTCAAATAAAAATGAAATGTGACTTAGTTATATGCAATTTATTATGGAGTTGTCACTGATATGAAAAGTGGGATTATGTTTTCTCATCTGAGGATGTCCTTACACTTGCATTAAAGTAGTTAAGAAAATTCTGCCAAGTTAGTGGCTTTGAAAATGGAAACTAGTTCCCTCTGTTCTGTTGTTTGAGCCTAGGTCCAGGTGAGATTATTTTGATTTCTTTCTATTTAGGCTAAAAGAAAACGAAGAGTCACTTGGTGTCTTGGAAAAATTAACAAAATGAAAGACTCAAACTATGTCGATGAATTTAATGTGCCGGCAAATGTTACAACAAAATCACAAAGAGCTACTCAAACTGTCCTGGGAGAAATCGATGAATGTGAGTTTCTTTTCAGTTTCTTTTGATTATGAAGCATCCCTTTAAAGAGAAAATTAATTTACAGCTCAGTACAGTTAAAACATTTTTTAAATAGTATGTTAACTGTGATAGAATGGAGGTAATTATAAAAAACAAGTAACTCTAAGACAAAGCCGCTCTTTCCAGACCCCCAAGAATAGTGATTGAAACACATGAGCAGGTATTTTTACTGGTTTTGCCCCTCATCATTGTCCGGTTAAATTAGTACCCCTGTAACATCCACCTTAAACCTTGCTAATCTTGAAATGATGACATTTACACTGGAGTCTGTTCCAAAATAAGGTCTCCAACATTATAAATATTTTTTAAGCAAAATTTTAAAATCTTCTCACAGTGATCAAATCCCATTCAGAATAGATTTGTCCATTTTACCTGTATCAAGGAGCTCTACTTCATTATTAAGCCAACAAGCAACCTTTTTTTTTTTAGCATAAAAGAGCTGGGGTGCAGGCCAGAGGTATGGGGGTAAGAGGATTCACCAGATACAGACTGGGGAGCAGAACAGGGATATCTACTGAAACACTGCTGAGGGGATCAGGGGGCGAAACAGGAGCGGTCTGCTATGCCATGTGAGTAGCTCCCTGGCTAGGGATCGAGCTGAGGCCATAGTAGTAATAATGTTGAGATTTAATCCGTAGGCCACGAGGGAAGCCCCCAACAAGTGATCTTAATTCAAACAGCAGCACATGTGACTGTGTCTGTTGTGACTGCATCCTTGGCATTCAGAGTGTGAATGTGAGGGATAATTTGAACTAATCATTACTTCTAATCAGAATTTCTCAATGATCTCATTTAGGAAACTTTGTAAAGGATAAATTTCTTTTTCTCCTCCTAGCTCTCTGTTCAGAGTCTGATGTTTTCAGTAACATACTTGATACATTAACTGAGGTAGAGTGGAATCCAGCAACAAAGCTACTAAGTCAGGTAAGTTAAAAGTACTTCACAGAACATGCTTTTACTCTTTGAAATCCAACTGCTTATCAGTGTTTGCTGCTGTTAAAGCACATTTTGAGCTCTGACTTCATTTGAGTGATAATTCTGCATCTAATTACGGTTTCCTGAGCTCTAACTCTGGCTGAGGCGCATGCATCTGAATATAGGTAAGCCTTTGCTTCCAGGTCTCTACCAGCAAATCTTAGTGTCAGGGTTTTTTTTTAATGTTCTGTTTTACCTTGGGCAAAGCCATGAGGGTAAAAAGAACTGATTTTAAAAGTGTGAAACGTCTCAGGTATGTATCAACAGTAAAGGAATGATATATCACAGACAAAACTGTTACCAGATAACACTGAAAAGTAAAAATAACTGTTGTATGGCATATCAGAACTTTTAAGAATAAGAAATACCGTGATAGATGCTGTAGTACATTTAGAGTTTGGCTAATTTCTGGCCTGCTAAGGTTCAAAGAAATTTCTATAGTTTTAGAAATACAGTTGTTAAAGAAATTTTCAGTTTCATTTTGTAATAAAATTTCATTTTATTTTGGAATAAAATTACAGTGCTTCTTGGAAATCACTATCATTAGTTAACCATTATATTTGGTTACTATTGTTAATTAGGTATTGTAGACAAAGTGCTTTTTTGTGTCTGAAACATACTCTTGAAGTTTGTTGTTATTTAAAAAAACCCTGGTGTTTGTTTTGCTTTTTTTTTTTTAAACTCTGAGCTTATTTTTTTCTTATATAGAAAGTTCTTTTAAAAATAATTATTCCAGCTTTAAATACAGCAATGCCCTCTCCCTCATTGTGTCAGTCAAAAACCCAGGAGCCATCCTTCTCCCCACTCACTCCCTAGCCTTGTGGTGTGAAGAGGGGTGGTGTGTGTGTGTGTGTGTGTGTGTGTGTGTGTGTGTGAGAAAGAGAGTGAGCGAGAAATCCACCCACTTTTCTCTCCAGTTGTCAACAGCCCCATCACTGCTTTCCCTGACTTTCTGCAAATAGCGTCCTACCTGGTCTTCCCCCATTCTGTCTTAAGCTTCTTAGATTCTCTAACCCAATCCCATGCAATCTTTTCTTCATAAACCCTGGAATAGCTTCTCTTTGCCCTTGGAATAAAGACAAGACTCCCCACGTGGCCTGTGTGCCCTTGGGCCCAGGCATTCTGGCTTCTGGACTTGTTTCCCCCCATCTTCCTTCTCGTGACTCCACAACTCTGGTCTCTGGCTCTCCCTCACCCTGAAGACGTCCTGCTCTCGCTGCCTGCACTGTTTCTTGAGACCCCTTCACCTGGTTAGTGGTGTCAGCCTTCAGACCTCGACTAGTATGCCCCAGCTCCCAGGAGGTCCTCCCTGAGATTGCCGTGAGACCCTGGAGTGCCCCACCTGGGTCTGGTGGGATTTGGCACAGTATCTCTCCTACCCCAAGGGGGAAATCTCACCATTTGCTGTCCAGCCTCTAGTAGGACGCTGTGCGCCCTCAGTGACTGCTAGCCAGCTGAGTTGTGGAAGAGCAGGAAGGCTGCTCTATGAATGAGCCGATCCCAGCTGGATTGTTGTAGGAAGTATCCTTATTTCTTCTCCCCTTGAATAAAATACAGACTCTGGATAGCCACTGTCTTATTTTATGATTTTCTTAAGGCCCAAGAATCTCAAGAAAATCAAGAACTGTCCTTCAGCATGGAAGAAAAAGGCAGTGAGACTGAGACAACAACGAGTGAGGAGGGGGCATCAGAGGCACCATTCAGAGTCGAGGGTGCAACTCTCCCGGAGTTGGGGGCAGGAAGGCTCAGCTTGTCACAGGGGCTGCAGGAAGCCCTTCAGACTGAAAGTGACCAACTCAGAGAGAACTTGGGAGAGGTCACAGCTAAAGTAGGTTTTTAAAAACGTTTTATAAGCATTTTTATAAAAGCTAAACCTTTGAAAAACCAAGTTAGTCATATTGTGATGTTTGTAATGTTTCTGCATATTTCTTGCAATTTCCTCTAATAATGAAGCACCAAGAAACGGAAAAGGAACTGAGAATTGCTCATCATCACCTGAAAGAACATGAGGGAACCATTCATCAGCTGAAAGTGGCTCTTTGCGAGAGGGAAACCGAACTGTCAAGCATGCAGAAGGAACTAGAAACAGCCCACAATGAATTAAAGAAAAAGGTAAATTGGGGGTAAAGGAACAGCGGGAGGAACCTGAGTGGGCAACTGACTGGAGGACTCAGTTGTCTTGGAAACATCCTGTATTTTTTTCCCTTAAACAATATGCACATACATGTAAACCTATCTGTGTATATTTGTATGTGTGTGTCTGTGTTTGGGGCTAACATGTTAATATTTTAAGGTCCAAGAGCTTCATGAGAAACAAGAACAACTTACTACCATCAAAGAAAGCAGTGAGACTCAGGAGAAAATGAGCCACGTGGAGCAGTTAGAGGAGCTTCTTAAGGCCAGAGATGCATCACTACATCGTGTGGAAGGCGAGAGGCTCGAGCTGATGGAGAGGCTTCAGGAAAGTCAAGAAGAAATAAAAATTATAACTAAGGAAAGAAATGAACTGAAGGGCGTGCAGGAGGCCCTGCGAAAGGAGAGAGACCTGCTCAAGGAAAATATTGAAGAAATCAAAGCTAAAGTACGTTTCCCTCTTTCAGTGTTTTTGTTTTTTTTTTTTTTTTAACAGAAATAATGTCAAGGTGATAATGATGATGCCCACTCAATATTAATAATTTTCCTCAAATTACAAAGGGACAGAAAATCAAAGAGGAGCTAAAAAACTAGTGTTCTTCTGATGGAGTCCCAAGAAACTATTGATGCAGAGACCCTGTCAGAGGAGACGGACCAAGAGGCGGGGTCTCCAGGAGACCTGGATGCTGGATTACAGGGCAGAGTAAGTCTTGTTTTCTCACGTGAGAAGTGCCCCGACTCTGGTGTCTGCCTTCTTACCTGGGTGAGCAGCCTAGACTAAATGCAGAGGTGTTTGCTTGAATCTAGAAACAATCCTATTTCCCCAAATCTCTGGCTCTGCCCGGCTCACTTGGTTTCTAATGTCCTCAGACCCAGGAACGTCAGCCTGTGGAGGGTGCAGCTGTCAGCGAGGCTTAGGCCACAGAGTGTGAAGTGGAGCGGCTGACGCAGCAACGCGAGACCCAGACGTCTACTCTGGAGGACACAGAGACGGAGAAGCTGCACAAACACTTAGAAGAAATGAAGTCTGTTTGCAAAGAAACAGATGACCTCCGGAGTCTGCAGGAGATCCTCAGAGCAGAGAGGGACCAGTTCCAGGAGAGCCTTCGGGAAGCTGTGTGCAGGGTGGATCTCCCCAACCCTGAAGGGGAGACAGCCCAGCTGGGAAGCCAGGGGAGGGTCTCACTAAGACCTTCCAAGTGTTGTGCATGGACCCGGAAAGTGCCATTGCAGCTGTGTGTCCAGCAGCGTCAGCACCACTGTGCAGGGCTGTGTGGAAGGGTCTCTGCCACAGTGAGGTGCAGTGACCAGTAAAGCAAACCTGGACAAGGGGACATGCTCAGTGTCTGTGGTAGGGCTGCTTAGATTGGGGCCACAGGTTGAAGCCATGGTTAACAGGCCATGGGTGAGGGGGCTCGGGCACTAGGTGGTCCTGTCAAGGAAGAAAGGGCGGGTGCGGGGCTATTGACCTCTCCAGGTCACTCAGAGGAGGGGCTCAGTTAGGACAGCTCCTTCGTACACAGCTTGAATTGTGTTTATCTTTCCCAATAACCATCAAGGACCTGGAAATACAAGAGGAACTAGAAACTGCTCGCATGAGTCTGAAAGAACAGCAAGAAACCATTGATAAACTCCGAGGGATGGTTTCAGAGAAGACAGATGAAATATCAAGTATACAAATGGATTTAGAAAACACAAATTCTTTCTTAAAATCACAGGTATATTTTCCTCTTTTTAAGTTGTTACCTGAGTAAAACAATTTGAATTGGGTCTTTGTAATGAGACAGGACATGAATTAACCTAAAATTGAAGACAAGTAAAGCTCTCCCTACCCTGTTTAGAAACTGTTTTTTAGCTGTTTATTTGCCTCTTTCTGTAGCCAAAATAACTGTATGATTATCTCAAGGTCCAAGAACTCCAGGAAAAAGAACATCAACTTCTTGAGGCAAAACATTGTCTCACAGAAAATATATACCAAACAGAGCAACTGAGGAAGGAAATGGAGGCCCAGAACTCTACCCTGGGAGGTCTAGAAGCAGAGAAGTTACGGTTGACACAGAAACTTCATGAAAACCTTAAAGAAATAGAATTTATCACCATGGAAAGAGATAGCCTGAGAAGAGCAGAGGGGGCGCTCCAGACAGAGCAGGAACAGCTCAGGGAGAGCCTCCGGGCAGCCAAGACCAAAGTGAGTCCTTCTCATCGTTTTACTAGGGAGGAGGAAAATAATTTCTCGTGGATGTATTGATCGAACAAAGTGAGGAAAGACATGAAGGATGGTGCAATCCACCTGTTCTGCTCCCTACTCTGTTCTCTGGTGAATCCTCTCACCCCTCCCATACCTCTGGCCTGCACCCCAGCTCTTGCATGCATAATAAAATCAATAAAAAGCAAAGGACTGTATTTGTGTACATGTGGTTCTGATGACTTGCAGTAATTGTGAAGCATATGTGTGTAACTCCCTAAAGAAAGAAGTAACGGTGAAAGACTAGGTAAGAAATAAATTATGTGTGTTTGTGAGAACAAGTAAGGAAAAAAGAAACCGATTGTGTGTTCATGTGACACAAGGTAGCAAACATAGTACCCACATATGCGTGTGACCCTTTGGGGAATGAAGCACCTGTGTAAGTGTGTGTATGTTTATGTGAATACACAGAGAAAGTAGGTGGTTGTGTGAGACCAGGGGAAAAATGGAGTCGCTGGTATGTTTGCATGTTACTAAGTGAGGAATGAAGGAACTGTGTGTCTCTGTGTGAGGAATGAACAAACATACTGGATGTGTGCATGTGGTAAGTGAGGAATAAAACATCATGCGGCTAGGCAAAAAATCAAGAAATTGATTGTGTGACTAGGTGAGGAGTGATTCTGAATGTGTGTTTGTGGTGAGATGAGGTAACAAATGAGGTCACTGTGTGTTATTGTGCTTAACTTCAAAGGTAAGGGATGAGGTGATTTTGCATGTGCAGGTGCCTGTGACTGTGTGTGATTGTTGGGTGAGAAATAGTGATTATGTTTATGTGTGTAAAAACAGGTGAGAAAAAAGTGACCATGTGTATGTGTGAGAGACAAGGTGAGCAATGAGAAACTGTCTATATGTGTGAGTAGGTAAGGAATGAAGTAATGGATGGGGTATGTGTTCACAGATGAGGAACATAACTGACTGTGTGTGTGGAAGGTGACACAGAATGAGGTGACTGAGTGTGTGTGGGTGGACCAAGAACAGGAGTGGAGTAAAGGATGATACATCCTTTACTGTGTGTGTCCAGGTGAGAAATCAAGTAATGGCAAGTGTGGGTGAACGAGTCGGTGAGAAAAAGTCAGGATATATTGACACGTGTGGGCACGACAAGGTGAGAAATAAATACTTGTGTGTCAGCGTGTGAGAAGTTATGTGTGTGTGAATGTGTATCTGATGAGACCAGGTGAGATGGGAACAAAACAACTGTGTGTGGGAGCGAGGTCACTGATGAAGACTGACTGTGTGTGTGTCACTAGGTTCACTTTTCCTTCCCCTCTTCCTCCTCTTTACCTCTGTACTTACCTCCCCTCACCTTTTCCTCGCTACTCCTTACCTTTTTTCCACAGGGTCCAATGTAGTCTCAACACCACAGTATTGACTGCGCCTTACCTCTTTTCATGGAGTCCAGTGCAGTCCCAACACCAAAGTGCTGTGGTGCCTCTGCTGAGGCCTCAGGAAACCAGCTCCTCTGTGTGGGCAGAGCCAGGGCCCCTGGCAGATGACCATGCACGGCAGGGATCAAAGTGGCTCCGGGTGCTCCGTGGGGGGTGGGTACAGTAGTATGCACAGCATTCACAGTCCCCACCCCAGAATTTCTACTTCAATGTCATGAAAGGATGGAAATTCAAACAAAAAGGGAAGCAACTTGATACATCCAATAATAATGATGGAGTGACGAATTGTGAAACAATGGGAATGAAATGAATGTGAACACAACTTACAACTTACACCAAATATCACCAAAATTATACATAAGCAAACAAAAATGGTCAACCATAATTATTAATAATAGCAGAAAACAGAATAAATGAATAGTGTGGACTTCAGAATATCAAATATTTTCTGTGAATATTTTTTGTGAAAGGACATGTTCAGAGAACCACAAGCCAAGAAGAAAAGTGAAGCAAATTTGCAAACCACGAATCTGAACAGACATCTCACCAAAAATATACAGATAATAAATGGGCGCACAAAATATATTCGTTGTCATGTATAACTAGGGGATTGTTAATTGGAACAAGGAAACATCACTACAAAGAACTGTTAAGCTCCCAACATCACTTTACCAGTTGACACACTGCTGGAGGGTGAGAACAGCAGGAAGACCCCTTCATTGCCGGTGGAATGCATGGGCAGATGCTTTGGAGGGCAGTTGGGCAGTGTTTCCCAAAGACAAAAAAAAAATCTCACCTTCAGATTCAACAATCAGGCCTCCAGTATTTAGACAACCACCTTGAAAAACTATGTTCAAACAAAATCTAGCATGTTATTATGTGCAGATGCTCTATTCATAATGGCTAAAATCCTTTCTCAAATCAAGATGTCCTTTAATGAAGAGTGCAAAAGCAAACTGTCATTCCTTCAGGGAAAGGGAGCAGAACGTGACCCCACAGAAGCCTCTTTGGCATAAGACCACTTGACAACCATAATATGAATGCAGAGCCTGTCTCATTGGTGTCAGGATTATTTGGGGTCTATTTTTAAAAACAGCAGTTTGGGAGAATCTCTCAAAAACAAGAAGTTGCCCCTCTGTGAGAGTTGCACACTCATAAGGGAAATCACCAGTCCTGAGGTTGTCTGCTCTCTACCAGGAACAGAAGAATAACAAATTCAAACCAAGCCACCAACCTCATCCATGGCAAGCTCTGGGCATTCATCTAAAGAACAATGACTCCCTGGCTGATTTTTCTTTGCATGATCACCTTCCATGGCTTTCCCCCTCTCCTGACATTTTCCTGTTTTGTTTTTACGTGAGGATGGCACAGAGACTGATCACTTGGGCCCTTCTATGGAGTTATTAGGTTTCCCCTGCTATCCCTCATGTATATAAGAAATATAAATGTTAGGAAAGTTCAGTTTGCTTTTTCTCCTATAATCTCTCTTGTATGATAGAGGATCTCATCTAAGATCTTAGAATAGTACAGGCAAAATTATTTGGTCATTCAAACATGCATGAATAAAATTCAGCAACAGGAACAAATGAACCATCAACCACTGTTGGAGGGAGGATGGGACATTTCTCTCTACCCCTCCAGCTGAAAAGCCATCCGATGAACAGCAGATGGATTAGTTGGAAAAACAACAAATTCAAGGACACAACTACGCACTCATTCATGTTCACCTCATACCAGGCCCCAAATCCATGCTCGCAAAACAATGCAAATCAGAAACAGAACATATGCTCTCACCATAACCCTAGATCATGACTATCATCTTAGTTATCATAAAGCCTAAGCATCATGCACAACAACCCTCACCCTTACTCAAATTATTACCTGAATTCCTAACCAAAGAAAGTGACCCTATTTTTCTAAACCAGTAACACCCAACTATAATCAGTCGAATCAAAAAAAAAAAAAAAATCATCACAAGAACAGAAAACTAAAGACCTGGACCTTTCAGGCTAGGAATCCTCCACAAAATAACAACAGGAAACCAACAGCCCATTAAAAGGTGGATACACTACAAACAAATGTCTATCCCAGAAAGTCCAGTTGTTAACATACTAAAACCAAGACATGCAACGAACCCATGGATTGTATGAGGAACAAACATGGATCATGTCAAGTGATTCAGAAAACTCTTTCTGAAAAAATCCAGTACCCTTCCATGATACAATCACTCAAAAAGCAGGAATAAAGGAAAGTTTTTCAATAGAATATAGAGTATTATAAA